CAGGCACTAGAGCAAGCATGGGTGCAGCATAATCAATCAGACACCTAATATATGAGAGATACATCATTTTGACAATTCTCACATTTGCACCATAGCTTGGATGGTAGGCTGCCACAGCCTTGAGAGCACGGAGCCTCTCTCTACTTTGGCGACCCAGTCTGGCTACAACATTGCGGTACAGTAGAACCTCATGACCAAGGTATTTGTATCTGGTTACATAGTCGAGCAGAGAGCCATCATCCAACTGCATTTTGCGAACGGCCGCACCTCGTCTGGGTGGGCGTCGGTTCAGGATCTTTGTTTTCTCTACTGAGATGACCAAGCCCAGTTCCTGACATGTGTGCAATACAGAGTTCAGAATATTTTGGGTGTTGGTATACCCATTGGTGTGGATCAGTATATCATCCACATAGCTAATGATGTGTTCGCTGGGCCGCCTAGTTACCGAGTTTAAAAATGCATTGAACAACACATTGAACAGAGTAGGACTGAGGACACCTCCCTGTGGAGTGCCAAGTTCAAAATCTCTGGTTACACTCCTATGCCCTTGGAACAGTACAGATGACTTCCTGTTGGATAGATAGCCTCTTATCCACCGTAGAAGCCATCCTCCAACATTCATGTTAGCAAGTTCGCTCAGAATGACATGTGGGTTAGCAATGCCAAAGGCTGACTTAAGATCTAGGAAAGTGGTGTATGACCTATCAGTATGCAGGGTGAGGACTGTGGTAATACAGCGATGTTCACTTAACCTACGTGAAGCCATATATCTGGGGAGACAACATGTTACTAACACTGTAAAGGAGACGGTTGAGAACCATCCTCTCAAGACAGTGACAACTAGTGAGGGAGATTGGGCGAAAAACACACTGCTGGTTTGGTTTAGGAATGGGAATAATAAGGCTGTTTGTCCATGACTTTGGAAGCTCCCCAGTTACATAGTTCATACAATTCAAGCAAAGGTGTTCCCTGGAACTAGCAGAAGCATACACAGTAACAGCCCGCCAACCCGCCAACCAGCCAGTCCGCCAACCAGCCAGTCCGCCAACCAGCCAGCCCGCCAACCAGCCAGCCCGCCAACCAGCCAGCCCGCCAACCAGCCAGCCCGCCAACCAGCCAGCCCGCCAACCAGCCAGCCCGCCAACCAGCCAGCCCGCCAACCAGCCAGCCCGCCAACCAGCCAGCCCGCCAACCAGCCAGTCCGCCAACCAGCCAGTCCGCCAACCAGCCAGTCCGCCAACCAGCCAGTCCGCCAACCCGCCAGCCCGCCAACCAGCCAGTCCGCCAGCCAGCCAGCCAGCCAGCCAGCCAGCCAGCCAGCCAGCCAGCCAGCAAACAACCATTCTCCTCCCCCAGTTAACGAGACTCTTCGGTTCGTAAGAACCTGAAGACTTGGCGGGTCAGCCTTCAATCCGTGCCAGAACCTTTATCTTCCTCTCCCGTCTCCGACACTTTTTATCGGCCATAAAGAGAGGGACTGGCGGAGGTTTGGTCAGTGGTGCTGCTGGTGCTGCTCTGCTGGTGCTGCTGCTGCTGCTGCTGCTGCTGCTGCTGGGGTCAGACTCGCATAGCAGTTACGCAAGCACTTACGAACCTGTACATCTTTTCTCAATCTTTGGCTGCTTTGTTTACAATTATTAAACAGTTAATGAGCTCCGAAGCACCAGGAGGCTGTTTATAACAACAACAACAGTTGATTGGCAAGTTTTCATGCTTGTAAACTGTTTAATAAATGTAACCAAAGCCGTCAAAGATTGAGGAAAGATGTACACGTTCGTTAGTGTTTACGTAAGTGCTTTCGTGAATCTGGCCCCAGGGCAAAGAGGGGCTCTGACACGGGAGACATCTCCCGTCACGCAGGGCTCAGTCGCACCTCCACAGATCTCCAGTATCATCTATTGATACTGGTGATGGCTCAAAAGGGGCCACCATGTACGGGCTATTCATGCCCGTGCCACCTTTTGGGTGGCTTAATCTTCATCTTCATCTTCAGGGGCTCTGCCCTCACTTTGGCCGCTTCAGCCGCTGCACTCGAAACTTGGGAGCAGACATATGTCTCGTGTGAGGCAGTTAGTGAACTAGTCAACTTGTTATTGACAGGTTTTGGACAGTCGTTACGGTGATTTAAATTATTCCAAATTTGACTTTTGTCGGCCAGTCTTCAGAGACTTGAATTAATTTATATAGTATATATGATTTATATTAACGGGCTCCATTGTTTAGTGTTGATATGTAAAGGTTGAATGACTCGCTATGTAGCTGACTCCCTGGAGCACTGTGTGCTACTGTGTACCTGGAGTACTGTGTGCTACTGTGTACCTGGTTGGTGAGCACTGGAGGCGACTCGTCCCGCCTACCTACTTGAGCAGTCATCATAAACATACAACACACAGATACAGAGAGAGAGAGAAAGTAAAAGGGCGTGGAGAAACTATAGAAATAACAGGAGATTTGAGAGCAGAGAAAGATACCAGTGCCAGGAATGAATGTCAGGTTGAGAAGAAAGGCAGAAAGACAATACAAAAATGACATCGCAAGCAAGGCAAAGATTCGACCTAAATTGCTGCATAGCCACACCAGGAGAAAAACAGTAAAGGAACATTGAGGTCTTAAAGGAACATTAAAGTGTGGTCTGGTCAACTTATTTTAACCACGTTAATGTGACTCATCGCCTGCAGTAAAGGAACATCTAATGAAATTAAGGATAGGGGCAGACAGATTCACCACAAACGACAAGGAAGTGTGCGAGGAACTGGATAAGAAATTCCAGGAGGTCTTCACATTAGAGCAAGGGGAAGTTCCAGAGATAAGAGAAGAAATAGTTAACCAGGAACCACTAGAAGAGTTTGAGATTACCAGTAGGGATGTAAGGAAGCTTTTGCTAGAGTTGGGTGTGTAAAAGGCTAGGCCCAGATGGAATCTGCCCTTGGATACTAAAGGAAGGAGCAGAAGCACTGTGCCTGCCACTTTCCATAGTGTATAACAAATCATTGGTAACAGGGGAACTGCCAAAAATTTGAAAGACGGCTAATGTAGGCCCGATATACGAGGAGGAGGATAGACAGGAGGCACTGAACTACAGGCCAGTGTCCCTAACTTGCATAATATTCAAGCTGATGGAGAAGAATGTGCATAAAAAGCTAGTGGAGCATCTGGAGCAAAAGAACTTGGTAACACAGCATGAACATGGGGTTCAGGGATGGCAAGTCATCCCTCACAGGATTAATTGAATTCTATGACCAGGCATAAAGAGAGGGGTGGGCAGACTGCATATTTTTGGACTGCCAGAAAACCTTTAACACAGTACCACACAAGAGGCTAATGAAAAAGCTGGAGATGCAGGCAGGAGTGAAAGGGAAGGTACTCCATTGGATAAGGGAGTACCTAAGCAACAGAAGACAGCAAGTCACTGTGAGGGGCGAGGTCTCAGATTGGCAAGACGTCGCCAATGGAGTCCCGCAGGGTTCAGTCCTTGGACCTATACTGTTTCTTGTACCTGTATATGTGAATGATCTCTCAGAAGGTATAGAATCATTCTTCTCATTGTTTGCTGATGCAAAATTTATGAGGAGGAATAAAACAGAGGAAGATAGGAGGCTACACGATGACCTAGACAGACTAAATGAATGGTCCAACAAATGGCTAATAAAGTTCAACCCGAGTAAATGCAAGGTAATGAAACTAGATGGTGGAAACAGGTCAGACACAAGATAGCGAATGGGAGATAAACTAATTCATGAAATGGACAGAAAAAGATCTAGGAGTAGATATCACACCAAACCTGTCTCCTGAAGCCGACATAAAAAGAATTACATCTGTGGCATACGCAAGGCTGGCTAACATCAGAACAGTCTTCAGGAATCTGTATAAGCAATCATTCAGAACCTTGTATACCACATATGTAAGACCAATCCTGGAGTATGCGGCCCCAGCATGGAGCCTGTACCTTGTCAAGCACAGGACGAAGCTGGAAAAAGTTCAGACATATGCCACTATGCTAGTCTCAGAACTAAGAGGCATGAGCTACAAGGAAAGGCTGCGTGAGATGCACCTCACGACACTGGAAGACAGAAGAGTAAGAGGGAGACATGATCACTACCTACAAAATTCTCAGAGGAATTGACAGGATAGATAAGGATAAACTTTTTAACACGGGTGCTACGCGAACAAGGGGACACAGGTGGAAACTGAGTACCCAAATGAGCCATAGGGACATTAGAAAGAACTTTCAGTGTCAGAGTAGTTAACGAGTGGAATGTATTAGGCAGTGATGTGGTGGAGGCTGACTCCATACACAGTTTCAAGTGTAGATATGATAGAGCCCAGTAGGCTCAGGAACCTGTACACCTGTTGATTGGCAGTTGAGAGGCGGGACCAAAGAGCCAGAGCTCAACCCCGGCAAGCACAACTAGGTGAGTACACACATCAGTACATGAAGTTTAAATGGAATCAAATTCTTATGCATAACCAGTTTTATGTACCAATAAGACATACAGATATTGTCACCACTGGCCTCGGTGTTGGGGTGGCATCATGTTTAATATGTAAACATTAAGAAGAGTTACCCGCTGGAAGTAGTTATGTAATAATGGTAATACTGGTTTTCTTTGATTAAATACATGTACAATTTAAAATATTGAATTACTGTATATATTTATGCACCTATCATTTTTTATTTTTGTATATGGCCCAATATGGTATTTTCTTTTGTCTAGGTTTAATGTTGTCATATGATGTATGTTAATGGATAATAATTATAGATTGGTTTGTTTTCTTGAGAAAATCAGCAGGCGCCATGATAAGGATTCGAACCCGCACATTTCGTACTCCCAAGCATATTGATACATAATATTAATAATATTTCATTATGTATTTTTCATATTAGCTTGTAATGTTGTCTTTGGATTCCAAAGAGTCTTGAAGTTGCAGGCTGTTAATGGGGAAGGTTTTAAAATATGCTAGCAACTGACAGGTATTATATTGATGTTCTTTTGTTTCAGAGGAGACTCCAAGACGTCGGCGTCGTCGCGGGCCGCCATCGCCGGTGAGCGCCAGCCTCTCTGGAGCAGGGGCCGAGCCTCTCAAAACTCCTGAAGTGGTGTGCCATGTGGTGTCACGCCTCGGGCCCCCATCTAGCCCGCCCACCCATCCGCCCGCACAACCCTCGCCGCCGCCCACTCGCCGTCACCCGTCCCCACAGCCTACTCTCCCAGCCCATACCTTCCAGCCCATCCAGCCTGCCCTACCCCAAGACACAACACACTCGGCGCCCTCCACCCTTGACTCACGCTCAAGGTTCGCACCCGACGGCGAGACTCGCCGTGTGAGTAGCGCACTTGGGGAGCGTTCGGAAACGGAAGAAGGATTTGTGCGGAAAGTACCACCGAAGCTAGCACCTCTGCGAAAACCCGAGATCCCGGATGTATTGCGGCCTAAAGACACGACTGGCCTAGCGTCGCCAGGCGTTGTCAACACTCCCCCAAATTCCAGACCATCGTCAGTGGTGCTAGAGAAACCACCACTTGCTCCTGAAGGACAGAGACCTGCAGCTGTTCGTTCCTCCTTGAGGAAGCCTTCAGATACTGGCACTTGTTTTATGGCAGCTCGTCGAGAGAAGCGTGACGAAACGAAGCCCGAGAACATCTTCCGAGAACTTCAACAACGACCAAGGAAAGGAGACAGACTTTCAAAATCCGACATGAATCTAAAGATTGAGTCTAGTTATTCTGGTAAACAGAGTGATTCTCTCTCACCTGGAGGCTCGGATCTAGACGCCTCTGGAGCTATTTCCTCGCCAACAATGCCCACGAATGGCGATACAGTCAACTCAGAGTTAATGAGCAGCCGCCTAGAGGCCCTTACAGCTCGAGCGAGAGAGACCATAGAAAGGGTAGACCGTCTTGCCAATGACAGCCCACCACCACTCCCTGAGACTAGCCCGCCGGAGGACAGTGCCGACAATGTGGTTCATGAATGTGAGGAATATCTTACTGTGAATGCCAGTCGAAAAGAGTCGACCGTAGGTGTTAGGCCTCGAGAGACTAGTGCAGCTGATTCCCGCGGTGATAGACTTCAGGCTCCAGCTGTTATGAAGGGTGTTGTGTCTGACACGGGTCAGAAAAACTGGGTCGGGGGCTCTGAAGGACGTGGTAAAGAAAGTAAGCGGGTGGCTATGGAAAAAGAAATGAACAGAGATAATAAACGTGATTCTAGCCAAGTTGCAGTTCAAGAAAAAGTAACTGCTGCCTCCGCAGTGCCTTCAGGGCCCCCGGATCATGGTGCCTTGATAAATGACAATATAAAACCTCCACCAGAAGAAGTAGTGCATGGTCTTCAGCATGAAGGATATGACGACGAAGACCTAGGCTCTCCCGACTCTTCTCAGATAAGAAGCCCGGACCACCGTAGCAACAAGCGCAGTTCAAGACGTTGTTCTCTGGATGGCGACACTTCACGCACTAACTCTCCAGATCCCCACTCTATTCTGAAGCGGCGCTCTTCTCGTGAGGATGTTGCCAACGACCGGCCAACTACACCAGAGCCACACAGTATACTCAAACGGAAAACAAGCTCACGTGCATCAAGCATAGACACAATAGAGGGCGAGCCAAGACCAATATTAAAGAAAAAGAGTAGTATAGAAGAGCTTGATCATTTTGAACCAAGACCTATATTGAAGAAAAAGTCTTCTACTGACGATGAGCTTGATGACAGACCTCGGTCAATTCTCAAAGGTGGACGCAGTAGAGAGGACCTTGACCGGGTTGACTGTGTCACTATTCTTAAAAGGTCGCCGAGGTGCGACAGTGAAGGAGAGGGAGAATTACGACCGATTCTAAAGAGGCGAGAGACAACTGATGGTGTGAGACTGAGGCTTCACGTGTCTGATGGGGAAGATGTGGAGAGTGAAGCGCCCAGTGTGAGAATGAGAAGTGACTCTGCCCCCGAGGCTGTGATACGTATTAGAGGGCGCTCTCCTCCTGCACCATCTGCTACTCCTTCACATGGAATTTTAAAGAAACGCGGTGCACAATCACCAGGCCGCTTTGATCAAATGGATAGTGAATTGGGAGCAATCCTGCGTTCTCGGAGGTCACAAGGCCCCGAGGACAATGATAAAGAGAATGACATGACAAATCGCCCAGTTAGTCCTTCCCTTGTTGCACTGATCAGAAGAGAGGACTCGGCTAGTAGATCTGGAGAGCGGCCACTGAGCGTAGCTGAAAGAGTAGCTGGCATGGAAGCTGGCAGACAGGAACCTCCGCCCGTTCAACACTCTCCCACTCCTTCCCGAAGTCCTGGTGCTAGGCCCAAGGTCACGCCGTCCTTCTTTGAACGTCCTCAGACACCCACTGACAGGGAGAGGTAGGATTGTTACCAATTATTATTGATTATTTATTCATCTTGTGTATAAAAGTGTGTATAAAAATCTTTAAACTTTCAGTCTAAGGGGAGCTTCAATGAATATCAACATTTTGCTTAATTGGGGCAATGTTTTCAAGAATTTATCTTTGAAGTAAATCATAATAAGTATGTTATGTATAATATAATGCCTCAATTTATTTTTAGTTTTCTGGATATATTTTGGTAGTCTAGAACAAGGCACTTCATGATACTTCTTATAACAGATATCATAAGGTACAATCAGTGTGTGTACACAGCAGTCCACCAGGTGCTTTGTACTCTTTCAAAACTGCTCGTAATAATAATAATAATAATAATAATAATAATTATTAAATTTGGTTAATCCTCCCTGGCCAGGGTCTTCAGTATTAGATTTCTACATACACTTTATTTTCAGGGAGAATCGAAGAAACAGTGCCTTTGGCCTTGTGGCTGATCCCTCGCCTGTTGACAGCATAGAAGCCATTAACGAAGCTTTTTTGGACCGTCCAGTAGTTGAAGCTTACAATAGTGCAATGTCTTCTGGCTGTGATACAACCCCTGACACACCTTCTTCAGTATCACAGAGAGCTGCTTTCTTTGCACAAGTAAGAACATAAAGTATTCTTGCAGGTAGTTTACAATTTCTTTGTCAGCTGCTTTCATTTTTTATTACATTTTGCATTGTAAATATTTAAATTCTCATAAAATATAGATTGTAAGCAGAGTTTGTTTCCAAAATTGCCTAACCCACAATCCAATGGGAAACGGCTGCGTTGATCTTTGGGTTAAACATTTCCACAAGTTTTTCAAACACGCTAATGTATGTTTGTGATTGAGCAACACTTTATTTGGTCCATATATGAAGAATGGCAAAGTATTGATATACTGTAGCATATTCACCGTACTCTACAGTCTACTTGTTGGCTATCTTTTTGCCCTTCTTGTGTTTGGCCACTACAAGTACTTGTATATCCTTGTTAGTTTGCCCCCCCCCCCTCTCTGTACAGGAAAAGGAAAGGTAGTGGATCACTACCTTTCTTTCCTCTGTATGGAAAAGAAGGTAGTGATTCAATGTTATAAATCTCTGGTATGTCCCCATTTCGATTACTGTATCCAGGCATGGCGACCTCATTTTCAGGAGGACATACTGTACTTGCTCTGGAGAAAGTGCAACACTGGGCAACAAAAATCACTCCAGAGCCAAGTCAGCTCTCATATCCGATATGGTTGAGACCACAGAGCTAACAAGACTGCAAACCAGGCATGACAGGCCAAATCTCATTGTAACTTTTAAAATGCTGAACAATTTGGAGGATGGTGAGCTAGACAATTTTTTAAAAAGGTCAGATGTATCACAAACAAGGAGAAACAGTTTCAAAATCAATAAGCCACAATGCAGGACTGAGAATGAGAGGCTTTTTCACCCACAGGGTTATAAACCCATGGAACCGCATACCTGCCAAAGCCGTAAATGTCAAAACTTTGCTAAATTTTAAAATCCAACTGGAAAAGATCATAAAGGCAAAAGGGGGGGAAAGGGCACATTTGACAAGCCGCCAGCTTCCTGTTCTCGTCAGGGCCACTAATGCTAGTGGCCCTTGGATAAATTCATTGACAGTTACCCCCAATTCTAAATAATATTGTTATTCCAAGTAAAATTATATAATTTTGCATCCTGTTAAATGCATTTTTACCTGGTTAAGTTACAGTAGTTACACAACTTGTAATTATTTGACTATTTTAGATAATTTAGTTTGCTATCTCAAATTGGGGATGAGCTGACAGATACCATGGGACCAGCTGCCCAGGGTTATCTTGACGTTATCTTGAGATGATTTCGGGGATTTTTAGTGTCCCCGCGGCCCGGTCCTTGACCAGGCCTCCACCCCCAGGAAGCAGCCCGTGACAGCTGACTAACACCCAGGTACCTATTTACTGCTAGGTAACAGGGGCATAGGGTGAAAGAAACTCTGCCCCATTGTATCTCGCCGGTGCCTGGGATCGAACCCAGGACCACAGGATCACAAGGGTAAACACACATGGTGTGGAATAAACTGGCAAAGGGGCGAAAAGCTTGGTATCTGCGATACCACCCAGCTTTCCCTGTGATTGTTTACAAATTCTGTGCACAACTTTTTTTTCAAGTAGCCATGCTTTGGTGAAGCTCTTGTCCAGAATGTCATTTCCTCAATTTTTCCAAAGAAATGTGGTGCATGGTTCGCTAGCTTTTAATAATTTCTCATGGAATCTTACAAATGTAAAACCCATCCAGCCATCCCTAAATATAACACGTTTCCTGTATGTTTAATTATAGACCCGGAGCTCTTTCCTCAATCATCTTGAGTAATATAACTATCATTTATGAGCATCTCTTAAATAAAAGCATTGGTGAAGTTACCTCAAAATCTTTCCTGCTGACCACTTTCATTATTCATAACTTTTAGGTTATATGGACCAAATTTAAAGGAAACGCATAACTTTTGCCTTTATCTCCAAAGCATTTGATATGAAATGCCAGCATTTCCCTAGCATGCGCACACACACCCATGCTTAGCCACCACTCTACTCTGGGAATAAGCAATCACTATGTATTGACTTTGAGAGTCTTGTAGAAGTAAGAGCGAGAGGCAATTCAGGTTAGGGAACGGGCTATAAGGCTTGCGTACAGTAGGGAAAACTTGGAGGGAATTAAAGAATTTCTCTTGAATACCATGGGACATGGAACTCTGTAGGGTCTCCTCACAAAGAATGGAGAAGATTTTGACATAAATATCGGGAGGCAGCAGAAAAATTACTCTGCCTAAAGAGAAGGCAATGAAAGACTCAGGAGTAACCCATTTAAATTCAATTCAGTTCAGTTTTTATTTAAAAGAATGTGTGTACAAAGAACATAAGAGTAATGTACAAGTGTAGGGACAGGAGTTACACAATCTGTGAAGCCAATATTACGCAAAGCGTTTCGGGCGAAAACATCAAATAAACAAAATTTTACCAAATGTGTGAGGGGTAAAACACTTAATACTAAAGGAGAAGTATGCTAACAAAATGAGAATGGTCATGGAAATGACAAATGAATGCAAAAAAGCATTTAGGCATGGTGGTAGGAAGCAAAATTCACAAGCAAGAAAAGATAAATACAGGACACAAAGAATTACAGAAAATGGAGGTATAAGAATATGTACCAGGAGTGAGTTTCTCAGAATGAGAGGAGAAACGGGACAATTTGAAAATGATGTAAGAGATAAAGCAAATATCCATCCCAAATGACTTAACAGTTACATTAAAAGGAAAACAATAATAAAGGAAAAAGTGATGAAACTGAGGATAGAATAGACCACTTTATAACATATGCAAGAAGTTAGCAGATATTTGGGAGCTACCAGGAAGCTGGAAAACAGCCAGTGTAGTACAATAGAGAAAACCAAAAATGTGTGTTGATTTAGTAAAAAGCTTCGTTCTAAGTATGTTAACTTCTGCCATTGTCATAGTCATAACTTCCCAGTGTCTAGTCTTGCAATTGTATTATGGTAAAAATGGTGCTCTGGGTGTAGAACCTCTGCAAGGTTATATTAGGTGCTTGGGAGCACAGGAGGTAGAATCTGTCCAGTGAAAATTAAAGAGGCCCTTAGGTCTGTTCATAAACTTGGGTACAATACTAGAGATACCCAGTGATATCACTCATGGTTGCCACTGGCTAATCTGAACACCTGTAAATCAATCGCAACGTCCTCTCTTACCACATCTCGCCACCAGATGGCAGCATCTGGGTCAATCCTTTAACCAAGGAAATCATGGGAGGTGATAATGGTTATTCTTTTTTTTTTATGTCAACACAGCCACAAGTGTTCTACCAAGACCTACTAGGCACCCCTTGCCTCGGTAGAATTATTTCGCTACTCCAGACTGGCAAAAAAAAATTTCTCGGAGATTCAAATTGGTGTCTTGGGACCACACGTGCCATCAACAAACTCGGTCCCCAGTGCATACACCTAGCCCAAGTATTGTTGGATGGTTATCATAATATGTACTGTATACCTGTCACTACATTTATTGTTTTGTTAAAGATTGACTATTTCATCTTGTAATTTAAAATTAACTTCAAATTCTGTGTTAGCTTTAAGACTTGCCTAAAATGCTATGCATGTTAGTGGCTTTGTAGGAATGCTTCACTTATAATCACCTACAAATGAATTTTCCTTCATTGTGTCTTCTTATATATATTAAAATAAATAAATAAATGGATGGCCCCTTTAAAGATCACAGACCACATCACATTCATGAATAATATAAAGATCTATGGGAAAGTGGGAAGCAAAATAAATACTTGAGATTTACGAATATGTTTACACCAACTCTACTAGCAAATGCTCTTTAATTTTGAAAAGGCAAGACCTTAAATGTTAGGCATATCAATCAATACCCATTACAACTACAGTACCATATTAACATGACCTTGCAAAAAATTGAAAAATGAAAGGTGCCTATGTGCAATGGTCCCCTATCATTGCAAACTGCTTAGCAAGAAGGATCTGCGGTAAAAAATGTCGATGAAACTTCGGGAATAGTCAAATAAACCTCTGATATAAGGCACACGAAAAAAGAATTTGCACACAACACGATTAAAATCATCCCAGAACTAAGCCAACACTGTATTGATTGGAAATCCTTTGTCTATGAGATTGGCTAGTTGGCCTGTTGCCTGTACTGTAATCTTAAAAACTGTTTAAAGATAGATCTAAAAGTACAGTACAGTACTGTGTGTTGCATTATTGCAGCTGGAGCGCGAGCAGACCTCGTCTGACGGCACGCCTGTGGTTTCCAGCCGTAGCACACGCTTTAGCAGCAGAAGAGACCGGGGAACCAGGTGTGTATGCATCTACACATGCAGTGTATACTGGTGTATTACTTTATATTGTTAAATACAATATAGACTTATTTTATTAACGAACTTTTAAATTTTCAGTCACAAATGTTAATTGGTTTTACTGACACTGTGTCAAATGTAAATTCATACAGTATTGCATGTGTGTCAATATTTATATAGAGATTTCTTAATGATCCATAGTCAGCGAGTTAAAATGTTTCACTCTAGAAGTAATGAGATTCCATGTCATTTTCCTAGATTTGAGAAGATAGCGAACTTCTTTGAAATGTAAGAAAACTGGTACCGTTTTCTGTAATTGTAGATCTTTTAAAAGTAGTATCTTCTGTTGCTGTATTTCTCGAATTGGCACTTGCTAGGGTAAAAATAAAATGCAATTTCCTTCCCTTGGTAAAAGTATTTATAACAGTTCACTGCAGTATAACATGCTTTACTTAAAGTAATACTGTACAGTACTGCACATTGTTCTGGGCTTCTATCACTATCATAACACTAACACAGAAGCTTCACATGCAGTTCACTAGTTGCTGCACTCTTCATGATATATTTCATGCAGTACTTTGTAAATGCTTATACTGTACTATACACGTTAAAAATTTTTAACCGCATGTATCTGACCAAGCATCACGACGTGAACGTGATACGTTGAGATTATATGCATATTATTTGGAGAATATTCTGATATGTTTGGCAATGTCACGATAAATATAAAGATCACCAGACATGAGCAAACAGTAAAAATGCACAATAATAATTGTATCCACACTAACTTGTATGGATATAAAAGTTCCTTGCTTACCATGTTAATGTTAAGAATAATTTGTATATAAAAGCTAAAAAAATGGTTTTAATGCTATTATTACTTTTGTCAGGCATGCAACACAGCCTGTAACGGACGATGAGGTGAGCCAAGCTGCAAGGCTGGCCGATGCATCAGATTCTGCGTCGGCTTCTCACGATTCAGACTCGGCTCCTCCACGTAGAGGCTCACGTGAGTACTCCTCAGGAGGGCTTGGAGCTTGATATGTTGGTAAGAAAGATGGCATCTTCTATTACATTTGATAATATTGTACAGACAGTATTTGTGTGTGTGTGTGTGCGCGTGTGTGTGTGCAAGATTTGTCCAAATGTAAAGGATTTGTCATTCTTTCTCACCAGCTCTCTTGCTTTAGTTGCAGTGATCACAGACGATCAGTGAAAAGCTTGAAATTTTATTGCATGTGCATGCATTATCATAGGCGTCTAGGCAACCACTAGCCACTGCGCTATGTTGTGACCTCTTAACATCAGCCATAATGTCATGAGTTTCTGACAGAATGAAGCTCTTGTCACTTATTGATAGCATTTGCTGTGACACACAATCCCATTCATAAATTGATTTATTGGTATCCTGAGCGATATTCACAATTTGGAATAATGTATATGTCATTGTACTGAATAGCTTTCAGTTAAAAATTATTGGGTTTAGTGATACACTTTTAAGGAAAATTATTACTGAAAACTTCATTATTTCAAAATACACATTGCATGTTCCTTTGGTATGGTATGAACACAACCTCACATAATTTGCAATCAAATCAAATTCAACACTAAACAAATCAAGTGGCCAATAATACGGATGAAAACATATATTTATTCATAAAACACTCTTTGTCCTTAACATTTAGAGAATGGCTTTCTCATCAATGTGGTTCATATAGTCATTCAAAACTAGCCAGTCACATTTGAATGAATCAGGTTGCTGAAAAGCCGTGTCTCTTCCTAACCAACCTTGAGGTTAACTTGCCTAACCCAGTGTCCCTTGACCTGTCCCCCTGGCCCGATTTGAACTCCTGTGCTCCACTAACCAGTGCCATGGAAGAGTGGCACACAAGGAGATTCTAGTAGCAGTCACCACAGCAAACACAAGAACGGCAGCAGTAATAGCGTGGGTGCCCGTGTAGCTCTTTGGACAAAGAGACTGGAGGAGGAGCGTTTATCAGCTCCAACTCTTGATGGGGCCCAGGCCATAAGACGTCGTTCCCGTTCTGCACGCTTCAAGACACAGCCGGTGACATTGGAGGAGGTGGCCCATGCACATGCCTTTAACAGCCAGAATGTCAGCACCACCACAGGAACCCCTGAGGAACAGGAACTAGGTACTAACACGCACCTACCTACCTACCTCCCTTGCCCCCCCATCTGGGCACAATGGTGGCCTTCCATATACACTGCATTCTACCAATATTTTGAAACCGCTCTTGAATTGCTACTGAAAAGAACTCCCGTTCTGTTTGTATTGGCAGATGCTAACATAGTTATTTAACATTTAAACCCAAGTGCTGTTTCAGAATATAGAATAGCATGCTAAAACCTATAAACATTATTGTGCATGTTAGTCTTAATTAACAATGTTATTTTCTCCCAGACATAACATTCATAACTCCTAAGCTGACATTGAACATCCAGCTGAACATTGTTACCTAACACTGCATTTTTTATGGATTGCATGAATGTTGCTTGTCTCTAGAAAGGTATTTAAAATGCTGTCCGTATATTGTATTTTATTTCATTTTCATTTCATTTAATCTTGATTCTTACTTGATTTCACATAATGACTTTAGTATTTTGTGGTTCTAACAATTTTTTTTTATATGACTGGGTACATAATACATGCATAAATAGGGTAAACTATGTATCTCATTAATTGTATAGCTATAGACTAAGAATAGCACAATTGTATAATAGGATATCCATTCCATTGATTTTATAAATAATGGGAAACTGCTTCACAATACCAAGGGGGCTTGGCTCTTCGTCTACAATGTAACAGTGCTCCATTAATTCACTAGGTACAATTGTTAAATAGTGGGGCTCCTCCTGTTCCTTCCATTGTGGTGTTGGACTATAGTGTCATGATCTAATGCCTTCTCATGCTTCAAGTCCTCACAGCCATCTGTATTGGCAAGATCTTGAATGCATTGGCAAATGACCTTCCTTTATTTTCTTGACTGAAGTGGAATGGGAGGGAGATGGGTCTCCTACATGTGGATATGCAGCACATTTGTCATTCTCAAAGTAGATTTGTGTGCTGTAGAACCACATGTTCCTTAAATATGTGGCTCCATTTTAGTTTAGTTCATTTATTATGCCCCCCCATACCCATCTTGTGGGCAGTAGTGGAAAGGGTTACAGAGGCACATAATGGGCTCAGGGACTGAACCCCACAATTCATTTAGCTCCATTTCATGATTGCAATGCTTTTGTGCTCGATGCTTTCTATTCCAACTGGAACCAGTAAGAGGTGTGTTCCCTCCAGTCTGCTCGCTGAGACCAGTTTCTATCCAGCTGGAGAGCTTTGTGGGTCATAGGATTTTTACTTTGATATACTTGAATTTACCCGAGGGCCACTGTGACTTTTCCTTGCAACTGGTTTGGCCTTGACTTTTGGCGCTACTATACAAAGCCCTCAACTCATCTGCTCTCCTTGCCTTACTTCTTATGCTGCATAGAAAGTTTGTCAGAGTTGAGCGAGACATCAAGTTGAGGAAAAAAAATCATTAATATTGTGCGATGCTCTACTGTTATGTATTAACCAAGTCTTGATTGGTTTTATGTTCTCTATTTTGGAGGTGTTCTTAAAAGCATTCAGTAACTAATCTCCATTAACATAACCTATGCAAGTATACACACCTTGAGAGCTGGTAATGCATGCAGCGCTTCTTGTCGAACTGTTTAGCACTTTTCAAACTATGTTCAGACTCGGAAACTTTATTCGTTACATCTTCTCCAAATCATTACAGTATTGGCAGGACAAAAGAAGTGTAAGCAGGCTAAATCAAACTTGTATTTGAGGCATAAAGTGAGTAACGTTTAGCTACTGATTCTAGCCCCACTCTTTGGAAGAGCTGCGTTTTTTAACGTATTGCGGTACTGTCTTGTACTCTTATTTGCCTTGTGCATACTGTATTTATCTTTTCACCTCTTTATGCACATCTTAAAAATATGTTTTACCTTGCGTGTGATTCACAAAATACTCCAGTCTTTTTCATTAATATTGTCTTTGCATTTTTATTTATAATTTCTTGAGTCTTGAGCTTGAATTTCATTCATTCATCCATTCATTTATAGCTGTTGATGTTATTCATAGATATTTTTGTAAGTATTGTACCTACTGTATCTTAGTTTCACTTGGGTATGGTGTTTGGCATTTCTCTTGATTAAGCTGTAGTTTTGACGAAAATCCAGATTTTTACTGTAATTATTAAATAGGCTTCAAGTTGATACACAGGCATCCAGGGCCAGTATTCATCAAACACTCGACTATCCAGTGACGAAACCTGTGAACCTTGATCATGGAACACTAAGCCTGCATTTATTAAACAGCTTACAAGCTGCAAATGTCATTTGTGACCCAAGTTTGATATTGTTATGAACCTCCTCTTAGAACCTGGAAGTTCATAAACGCTTTAACAAATGCAGAGCAACTCGCTGGATTCGAGGAAATTTGTACGGGTTTTGTGAGTGGACAGATAAGTTGTTGATAAATATTGGCCCAGGAAGGGCACTTAGAAGTAGGTAACATAGCTTGAATCAAAATGGTGAAGGGAATCCACACTACATTCTTTGATACGTATCGACTTTGATATCTATAACATGTACCAATGTATATATCACGGCTAATGCATTTATCAGTGTATTGTATGTCGATACTTTATTTGATATTAACATTAGCGTTACTGTGAAACTTAAGAGAAACCTTTCTTAAGCAGTAAGTAATTTTTTAGTAAAACTGCCGTAGCTGATATTACAGCAGATCTCTGCATACTTTTTTGTATTTATGTAAACATGCTTTCATATGCACAAATACAAAATAAGTTATTTTGTATATTATTATTGTACAAAATAATACGTATTGCGGTTATTAAGTACAATGTTAGTGATAATGAAGGGGACACCTTGAAACATTTTTTTTTCCCTATTTCTTGGCTTTCAGACAATACTTGGAGAAGGTTCCTATTACTTGAAACTTTCAACCTTTCACAATGTTCATAATTTCAAAAATTACTCTAGATTTATTTTATGTAAAACCAAAGATTTGTGCATTGTTACATTATATAACACAACAATATTGTTCAGGGACATTTAATTAGATTATGGTGATAGAATGGTATTCAAGTTAGCATTGTAGACACATGTTGACACCTTGTGCCATGTGACACATCTGTGTCTGCGGTGTTTGTCTTGTGTTCGTGCACACACCGTCACTACCACCATTATCACCACCATCACCTGGACCTTTGCTGTTCTTTCAGGGTCACCATCATTGCATCATGTACTTATCATATTGCCTGGTGGATTTATTGTGCCATGTGCTGTGGATATTTGTATACCTTAAGGACACTACAGAAGTACAGTACAGTACTTGCTCTCCTGGGGCTCGCCTTGAAACTCGCATAGTGTCGGTCGCTAGTTGACTCCACCCTGCTGCTTTACTGGACATTTAGATGTTGTCAAAACTCGTAACTGCTAAATTATGCCTTTACTTGGTCAACCTTAGTCAACTGTAGTTACCAGTAACTGAGGTATAAGTGTTGTAATATGGTTGCGACATTTTGCATTTTATTTTATAAATCAACAATATAAGAAATTAGGCATTGGTATAGTAGCCTTGTGCTCTTAAAAATATAAATCATTGCTGGAAAACAGTTTTTCCCAAACATGTAGCTATAGTTTTGTCTGTAATTGCAGCACATTAATAAGCAAAATATCATAGAATGTGTTAAAATTTAAATACAGTAATTTCACCTAGATTAATATTATCAAAGTTCACCGAATGATCATCAATCTTGATCTCTGTTTTAGTAAATGATAGCAGTAATCTCACTTTACATCATGTAACACCGGTGTCATCTACAGACGCACGAATAATAGAATCGCTACTAATTGTCACATGGCAGAATGCTTAAACGAAATGTGAATTACTAGCCTCACCATTAATAATACTAATAATATTCTCATATTGTCCATAATTGAAGTCATTCTTTGTGGGTTTTAAACTCAAAATTTTTGTCATTGGAATGAATTTGTAATGCCAGTTTTCCTGAACTTGGCTTAAAGGTTTAAAGGTCCTTGCACTAAGGTACTCCCACCTCCATTGGCCTTACCTTAAGTCCCTGCTTTGCTTTCAGTGTGAGCAGTCGAGTATCTAGTGATGGTTTATACTCGTGGCATCGGTCCATTCAATAACATAGAAGTGACTGTCATCTGTTTCACCACCATACCTGACAAGATGCAAAAAATAAATACATAAATAAATAAATTTTAAATAGATGAAGTGTTACCTCTTACCACTGCTAGCTTGTCCATCACTTGTTGACTTAGCTGATGATGATGTTTTTTCCCAGGCAACACTTCTCAATGTCCGAGAGAAAACGCTTGGAACAACAGATAAGTGGTGTCTGTTGCTCTTGGTTGTCCAACACTGACTTCAGGACCACATGAAGTTAACTTCATGTAAACTTTTAATTGTCTGGAGAAAGATGTCCAGTACAGCAGATGTAATTTGGCAATGCCTGAATTCCTCTTGTTTGGATAATAAGGCTTTACAGCTCCACTGTCATCCTTCATGTACTAAAAACATTATCCTCAATGACCAGAACTTCTTGAAATTAACTTCTTCATCCAGCCCCCACTCCCATAAATGTGTTTGAACTTTAAGCTACTGCTCGTGAGTTTTTGCTCGCTCGAATAACATCGGTACTCGCCTAGTTGTGCTTGCGGGCGTTGAACTCTGGCTCTTTGGTCGGAATCAGTGCAGTTGTGAGGGTACATGACCCCTTGTGCGATCCTCTAGAACACTGCCGATTGCTGATTGGTCAGCCTTGCCCTCAGTCTGACTCAATCAATCACTTTTTCTGTGTTACACACTGTCTACTTGATATCAAGATGTCATTAAGAGAAAAGCTTAGTCACAAGCTATCAGGAAGTATCAGGCAGATAAGCAGTTTTGATTAATTTTAAGGAATTCAAAGTGAATTAAGAATACTGTACAATGTTTTAAAGAATTTTGAACCAAATGCAAGTGGCCTTAAGTAAAAAAATAGTTTTTGTTACTGTTTTAAGTAGCACGAAGGTTATATAGCAAGACAGACTGTTTTATTCTAGAAAGCTTCAAGTTTTTAAGCATATTCTCTATTTTGCACAAGTCTGTAAACAGCAACAACATGGTGCAAGTGGGAGGAAAGGACAGTAGTGACAGAGAAAATGGTGAGGGGAAGTAAATGAGGCAGAGAGAGGGAGGGAGAGGGGGATGGGAGGAAGGGGAAAAGAGGAGGGTTGAAGAAATGAATGTAGATGGAGAAGGGTGGGGGGGGGGAGGCATATGAGGAAGAGGGAGGGAGGGAGGGTATTTGGTTTAAGATTATTTGAACACAGTTCTTGTCAGATTTATTCTGAGGGATTTACTGGATTAGGAGACTAGGTACATCTCCCTAGGTTTCCTTATGGTAGAAACCAAATTCTATTATTTTTTTATATTATTATTTAATTAGGCTTTTATAATTTATTATTATTATTTATTGTCATTTGAATTACTGGTATTTTTTTATTGCAGTTGAATTTTATTTTGCAGCATTACTATTTTTCATGAGCAATGGATAAACAAAAATATAAATATATACAGTATATAGTAATGGTAATGTCTTCTCACAGACATAATAACATAGGATAAAAACCTACACTTGTGTATTTGGGAAATGTATGTAAGGAGTTTACAAAAAGTCTTTAGCACTCTCCTGAGTGACGGGTTACCTACTTGGGCTGGACGGTAGTGCGACGGTCTCGCTTCATGCAGGTCGGTGTTCAATCCCCGACCGTCCAGATGGTTGGACACCATTCATTTCCCTCGTCCCATCCCAAAACCTTATCATGATCCCTTCAAAGTGCTATGTAGTCGTAATGGCTTGGCGCTCTTCCCTGATAATTCCCTCCCTCTTGAGTGCTTCGTCAAGGTCTGAGTGTGTAATTAGGACGAAACTTACATCTCGACGTCTAATGAGGCTGCTATCCTGGGTCCAGTCCTTTTATCCTTCTTGACCTAACCATGTCACTTTTATTCCCAACCTGTGGTAATGTCTTCTATGGAATTATGGTCATGTGTCCTTTCTGTAAACCTACTATTCTAAGAAGTGGAGTTATTAAATGTTTATCTGCATGCCTTGTAACCTCTCCATATCCAAAGGAATGCAGCTAACGGGTCTTTCATTCGTCCATTTATTGAGATACAATTTTAATTCATTCGGAATCCTTATCCAAGTAAAGCTATCCTCCGAAGTAAAGCTTTTGTTGTCAGCGAAAGTATTCAGAGTATTTATTAGACCCTCTTCCACTACCCTTCTAGTTCTAATATTATTACTTTTATGGAGTATTTCACATTTCTTAAAATCAACATTGTGATCCTTTTCCCAACTATGGTTAGCTCCAGCACTGTTACCAGCCATAATGCTACATGTTTTTTTATGTTCTTCAAATCTGACCAAGGTTTTGTGCCGTTTTCCTCACGTAGACTTCCTTACAATCTCTACGGGGTAATATATAAGTGCCTCTCAGATTTCCATCCTCCCCTACTGTGTTCTTACTAATCCTTTCCCTAATTGTATTTGGATAATTGAAAACAATTTTATGTTTTGTATCCGCTACATTATGGGGTCAGTTTACTTGAAAAAAAGTTATAAAGCAATTTAAAAACTATTTTCTTATCAGGATTCCAAGGGCGTTTCTCAGTTTGGGTAAACAGTTTGGAAAAAACACACAGTAAAGCCTTTAGCTTTACTGTGTGTTTTTTCAATGACCCATGAGGGATAACCTAAACCCAAAAACTCTTAAATAAGTATTTAAGTACAGCTTCTAGGTAAGACGGGGTCGCACATAATATAAGCTCTTAGATAAAGACAGGCAAGTACACTTTGCTTAACTGAATTGGTATATGACAAAAAATTAATGCTGTATGAGTGTGTGTCTTTTTCCTGTGAGTACGGAATGTAAATTGATCGCTGCTTTTACCTACCATGCAATCCAAAAAGTCGTTCTTTATTGACTTCATCTTCCATAGTAAACTGGTGAAATGCTCTAGGCTATCGAAACCCTCTAAATGTCTTTCAAGGTTCTCAATCTTCTTCAAATACAGTGAAAACATCGCCGGAAAAGGATCACAATGTTGATTGTAAGAAATGTGAAATAATCTATAAAAGTAATATTAGAACTAGAAGGCTAGTGGAAGGGGTTCTAATAAATACTCTGAATACTTAGCTCGTAACAAAAGCTTTACTTCTGAGGATAGCTTTACTAGGATAATAATTGAGTGAATTCAAAAAAAGATCTCGATAAATGGATGAAAGAAAGTCCCATTAGCTGCATTCCTTTGGGTATGGAAAGGGTTGCGAAGGATAGCATCCACAAGAATACCTCTATTAATAACAACTCTAGTTCTCAGAATAGGATTACAGAAAGGACACATGACCATAATTCCATAGAAGACATTACCACAGGTACACCAGCAGCTGAAATAGGTGACATGGTCAAGAGGTCAAGAAGGATAAGAGGACTGGACCCAGGATAGCAGCCCACCATTGCCAGAGTACTTGACATACAAAGGGAACTTGCGAGTGTTTGGAGTCTACAAGCACTCTGAGTGCGAAATTGCAGCAGCCATTGACAAGGCAACATCAGTGGGACCATTTGATGTCCATATGCATGGTAACGAGGCCACTCTGTTTACGCAGTGGTAGACGGTTGGAACAAGTTAGGTGAGGTGATGGTGGGAGGCCAAAACTGTCAGTAATTTCAAAGCGCTATATGACGAAGAGTGCTGGGAAGACGGGACACCATGAGCGTAGCTCTCATCCTGTAACTACACTTGGGTAACTACACTTAGGTAATTACAGTAATTGTTGCAACTGAACTGGACCTTCAGAAGATCCTGGATCCAGAATGCAATATCCCACTACTGGAGGCGAACCTCTTGTCAATTCCTCCCAGACAAATCACTGCCAGGAAAATATATGTGAATAGGCTGAACTGTTGATTAGCGGGTGAGGTACCCGACACCATAGTGCAGCAAGTGACAGAAGAAACCCAGACTCTGAAAGTGACGACAGCTCTGCTCACCAAGGCTAGTGATGCTACTCAACCTACGATGAAGATGACCTTTGAAACAGCAGAACAGGCCCAGGAAGCAGTGAAGAACAGTTTAAAGTGCTTTGGAATCATCTCCCCAAACCAGATCGCCATGGAGAAGGCCTACAACGTGAGACAGTGCTACAAGTGCTTCAGCTATGAGCACTTCTCCAACAAGTGCCCAGAACAAACGGCTAAGTGCATCTTATGCTCCGGTACTCACAACTACAAGGATTGTACTGCCACCACCAAGAAATGCGAGGAGTGTGGAGAACAGCACGCCACCACCTTCTAACTCTGCACAAAAAGGAAGTAGGAACTGAAGATTAAAGAGAAGACCTCCATGCTGCTGACCACCCACAGGCAAGTCGCTGCGACCTTGGACCTGACCAGTTCCTGAACCTCCCTTCTGTAAGCCAGATGCAGACGACGACTATACCAGCCCTACCAAACAATGGCTTCTCCTGACAGATCACCCGGCCTCCACACTGGGAACCTAAGGACCAGTCAGCACCCCTCACAGTCCCTTGCATCAAGTGCAGGCATTACCCCAGGTCTTATTCGACTAGCTGAGAGGCTTGCAGGACCAGACAATCAATGACTCGTCAATGAACTTGACACGTTGTACCTAGCCAATGGCCTGGACCCCATCATCGCCCCGGACACAAGTCTCACTGCCTCCACTACCACTCCGGAGACTACCACCAGGACGACTCCGTGGTCGATCTCAACACACTCCCGAAACGGGTGGCACAAACAGGTATTTCCGTCTCGTGCTCACAACACTCCTACCATCACCATCTCGGCAAACTGTCAGTACCGTCTACAAATACTAAAAGCACCACCAATGCTCTTGAAATTGGTTTTACCAGTAATCCACGACACCTGCCCCAACCTCAGGCTGCAAGACGAAAGACAAAACCACCAAGTACGAATGTTACGAACGCTTCAGACGAGGAAATCTTAGTAGGAGCTCCACCGCTGCAGCACAAATACGACACCTACCCGGTACAAGACCACCTCATGGAGGCTACCACACCCATCACCAATGACAGCATGGCTCGGCCAAATTCTCGGCCAAAGAAAAAAATGGAAGACCTAAAGGTCTACACTAACCCCACCAACTCCATAACTGGTACAGCCAGCTCTCTGAGGCTGAAATCCACCATGAAGACCCCCCATCCATCCACAGATCCCTAGTTTCAGCTATTGGTACTGGTAATTGCTCAAAAAAGCCTCGCTTACGGCCTATTCATGTCCATACCACCTTTAGGGTGGTTTAATCTTTATCAATCATCTGCAGTCCTGTTCTTGGATTGGATTGGCACGTCCACGGACCCCATCCCCAGATCTCCAGTATTAGCTATTGATACTGATAATGGCTGCAAAGTGCCTCCACTACGGGCTCACCATAGCCCGTGTTACTTGGAACTTTTTGTTCTGAGTAGCTGAATCTAAAACGAAAACAATAGTGCTTGCCTGCCGGGGACCGTGAGCCAGAACCTGGTCCCCTCAAGAGAGGCACGAGGAGCAATGGCCTATAAAAAAAAAAGTGTAGTTGGGAGCATTCTATGTCTGCCATCGACCGGATCTGGCACCCAGAAAGATAGGTTCCCCAAAACAAACTCTTATTCATGTGAAACTCAACATAACAGCCTCATAAGACGTTGAGATGCAAGTCTCGTCCTAATCACACACTCGGACCATGACAAAGCACTCAGGAGAGTGTGAAAGACTTGGAGTAAATTTCTTGCATAAATTTCACAAATACCCAAGTGTGTGCGCCCTGATAGTTCCCTTCTCTATATACTGTAAATATACAGGTTTACATATAATATACTGTAATATATGTACAGTACTAATGTTTTATTCACATTAAATTAGCGAGTGGTTTTCGTGCTGCTCGTGATGCAGTTTTGAGGAATGCTGGTGAGGTGATGCAGGGACTTACTCCCGGCTCCTCACCAAGACGACGCCCTACAAGCAGGAAAACTTCTCTTAATGAACCTGATGAAGAATACTCGTCAGATCCAGTGCGAGGTATGTATTCAGATTTTGTCTTTAATTTGTTGTCTACTGTAAAGCTTTGTGTGCAATTTACTAATCTACAAATTTGATCTCTTAAAATTTGAGGTGTAGTTCATAGTGTGTGTGTGTGTGTGTGTGTGTACTCGCCTAGTTGTACTCACCTAGTTGTGCTTGCGGGGGTTGAGCTCTGGCTCTTTGGTCCCGCCTCTCAACCGTCAATCAACAGGTGTACAGTGTGTGTGTGTGTGTGTTTGTGTGTGAAGTATAATTGTTGTTTCCGTGTTTTTCTCCCCAACCACTTGGGTTGGACGGTAGAGCGATAGTCTCGCTTCATGCAGGTCGGCGTTCAATCCCCGACCGTCCAAGTGGTTGGCCACCATTTGTCCTGACCCCTTCCCAGTGCTATATAGTTGGCGCTTTCCCCTGATAGTTTCATTCTCTTCCGTGTTTTCCTTGCATGCATAACTACTTTTAAGCGTTCGTCATTTCGAAAATAAAATTGATACTTTGTGGGATGCACACTGCATCTCAGTTCCAGGGAGGTAAGTG